TGGGTCCTTGGGCAGTGGCTCTCCCCCAGCTCCTGCTTTCAATGAATGAGCAGAGTTCTCAGTTCCTGGAGATGCTTGTCGGGTCCTGATCAGTTGTGAATCAGGCTTAAAACTCCCTTCTGGGTTTTCAAGATTTGTAACAATTGCTCAATCTTGTGTAAACTAGGCTGACATTTTCTCTTGTTACCAAGATGTATTTTTCTATGTTCATTAAATGTATAATTTGTGTAATTTTGTACATTAAAATGTATGCTTTTTCACAATTAAAGTTTTTTTTTTCCTTTTCAATGTCTAATTTACTGATGGTTCATTACAGAGAGTTGTAGACTTTGACACCATATAAAAAGTCAATGAATCCAAGAGTCTTGATTTTGGGTGGGGAATAGTGGGGAATAGTGACCTTCTCAGAAGTCAGGTCTATTTTGCACAAATAATGAAATGACTTCCTTTTTGTTCCTTTATATGAACATATTAGTTTACTGTCATTGCAACAAGTTACCACTAAGCTTGGGGCTCAAAACAACACACGTTTATCATCTTACAGCTCTGGAAATTAGAAATCTGCATTGGGTCTCATGGGGCTAAAATCAAGGTCTCAGCAGGACTGTGTTCTTTTGGGAAGCTCTGGGGAGAATTTGTTTCCCTGGCCTTTCCAGCTCTTAGATGCTGCCTGTGTTCTTTGGCGTATGCTCTCTTCCTCCATCTTGAAAGCCAACAGTGCAGCATCTTCGAATCTCTCTCTGACTGTGATGCCTGCTTCTGTTGTCACATCTTCTCTGATTCTGATCCTCCTTCCTCCCTCTTTTACTTATAAGGATGCTTGTGATTACTTTAGGCCAAACTCGATAATCTGGATAATCTTCCCTTCTCAAGATCCCAAAATTTGCCATGTCTGCAAATTCCCTTTTGCCATGTAAGGTGACATATACACAGGTCTCAGGGATTAGGAGATGGGCGTCTTTGGGAGGGGCTATTATTCTGCCTACCACATTCCCCTGTGCACTGCCTTGGAGGCTGCAGGGAAAAGCAGACATTTCAGAATCAAATGGGCCTGAAGCTGAACTGTTCCTCTGCCACTTGCTGGCCACATAACTACAGGCAGCATAGTTAACTTCTCAGAACCTTATTTCTTAGACACAAAACAACTGCAATAATCCATTACCCACCTTGCAGATTCACACCTAACAAGAAACTACACTTCCCTTCCCCTCATCTTTTGGAAAGCATTCTTTTTACAACTGATGCTTTAAAAAAATCTTTTTGTTTGTTTGTTTGCCCAGCAAGGGCCCTGACAGAGAGCATGCATTAGAACTGAGTGGCCTCTTCTGTTCTCTCCCTGCTGCCATATGACCTGGCCCTCTCTCTTCTCTGCCATCACCCTGGAAGGCTTTGTGGCCTGACAGGATGAGCTCCTGGCTTGTCCTTCACCAGATGTCATGGTTCAATTCACTTGTGAGCACTCCTTCTCTGGAGGGCTGAGAGCAGTCAGAGGAGAGGATGGGGGAAGGTCACAGCCATCCTCTGGCCCACATGTAGTTTGCTCAGCTTTCCTGGGCTTTCATCTGTTGGCTTTGGTCAAATCCTTCTCGCTTGGTCTCCCAGCAGGCTGGCAGGTACATTTCCTAACTTAAGCACCAGCTTTGTTTCTGGTTTCCTTTTCTTTGCTACACCTGGGTTAGTGCCCTTGAAAGAGGGGACATTGTAGGAAGCACTCAGATAAGCCTGCGCTGAACCCCAGTGTGATCATCTCCTGGCCGATAACTGGGGCTATGAGTTTGAAGTATGTACCCCGCAGCACTGTACCCCTCACCACAATATGCAGACGCTGCCTGCCATATAGGGCTGCTGAGAGAGCCAGTGGCATATCAAGTGACAGGTAAAGCAGATTTGTAGTGTGTAGAGATGAATAGTGTGTGCGAAGTCCCTTACATACATTTGCTAGGCACTCCATAAAAGTCAGACCCTCCTCCCTTGTCTTCAGGGCAGAGGAGTCCAGAGGAGTCCTGAGGAGTAACATAAAGTCTCTGACATACAGTGAGTATCCAAATGTATATTAGATGAGGGCTGAATGATTAATTGCTCTAGGCTGCAGAAAGGACAGGATTCTAACCCCAAAATCCAGACTCTTCTGACTATCCCAGACTTCTCCTCGTCCAAAGGGATTCCTTCAGCCACACTTCTTAAGAAAGGTAAAGAGTACCCATTAAGACGCAGACTCTGAGACCAGACCTCTGTGTTTAAATCCTAAGCAGTATCACTTACCACCTGTGACCCTAGGCAAGTCACTTAACTCTCTGAACCTTAGTTTTCTCATCTGTAAAACGAGGCTAAAATGGTACTGATGTCAAAGGTTGTTATGATGCTTAAAAGAGTTACTATATGTACAGTGCCCACAATGGTCCTTGAGGTGTAGTCAATTCTCCATAAATGGGAGCTATACTTTTCCTTTCTTGTTTCTGCACAAAGGCAACTCCTTCCCTCCTTCCTTGCACTACTCCCTTCTGGTCTTGACAACTGCCTAGCCCTTTCTCATAGCAGAAAGGGTTTTCTTGGGAAACAGTGAGATCTCTATCACCAATGGTATTTAAGCAAAGCAAGGCAGACGAGCTCCTCAAAATGTGGAGAGCAGATTCAGGCATGGAGGATTGACCTCAAAAAATTCTTGGATTCCCTGCTATTTCTATGGGTTTAGTTGCTGCGAATATTTGTGAGGCTTTAGAAGTCTAGGTGGGCTTTAATATGAAACTTCCTGGCTTGGGATATCCTGGGAATAGTTATTTCCCAGGACAGAAAGAAGTTTTCATTGAAAACACTTCCAATGAAGCCTAGAGTCCTCCAGACCTCAAGTGGATTATTTGTGACAGAAATCTGTGCAGGGTGCTCAGAGACAAAGGAGGAGGCCAGGATGGGGGATGGGGTGGATTGAAGAGGAAAGTAGGGGAGGGTTCTTATGTTCTTTATGGCCAGTACTCTCTCCCCAACTATAATATATGCTTTTTCCAGGAAGGAGCTTTATAAAGATTCATTACAGTGTTCCCAGCACAAGAAAGGGACCTGCTAAATGCCCATGGAGTTCCAGGCCTGGCTAAGCAACAATAATGTATGAGGCACTAGGCACCTTCACTGCTCCTCTCCTGTTTCCTCATCTGCCCAGTGGGCAGTTTCTTCCAGCACTGAAGGATAGTAAATACAGCAAGGAGTCAGCTACCATGAAGCCAGTATCCCTGGTGTCATCAGCACATACGTTCCAGCAGTCACAAGAAGGAGAATGAATCTGGCTCTCAGTCTGGGCCCCCAGAACTGGTGAGATCCGGTGCTGAAGGGACAGCTCCCAGAAGGGGGACGGCTGAGGGTGCCAGGCCAGGCACTCAGATTCCCTTCTGTGGTCCCCATCCTGTCCCAGATGCTGCCTGTCTGGATTCGAAGGCAGAGAGGGTCAGCAGCTGGTGATTCCATCCGTCCAGAAAGACCAGTTGGGATTGCCATATCCCGGGAGACTCTCAGGTCACTCTGCCTGATAATAATCATGGAGAAACGAGGGACAGTATCTAGGGGAGGCACAGAGAGCCTGGCCTTGAAGAAGGATTAAGGGGATCCCTAGAAGAATGGCCCCCAGACCCTCATGTCTTCCACCTGGCCCAAGCCAGAGGACGCCTGGAACCCTCAGCTGCAGGCTCCTGGCACGTTCAGTGTAGGCTGTACCAGGAGTCGTGGGAGGTGACTCTAGAATGGGGAATATTTGTCTGGATGACTGACAGGTGTGTGTGTGTGTGTGTGTGTGTGTGTGTGTGTGTGGTTATGTGTTCATCTTTCTCTCTGTGTGTCTTTCTCTGGAGTGTTCCTGTTTAATTTTCAGACTTTTCTTATTTCTGATGTGGATTTCTGTGTGGGTGTCCCGACTGGGTTTACCAGTGCACCTGTGTCGAGTCACCTTGTGAGCTTGCCTTCGATATGAGTATGTGACAATCTCCTTGTTGTGTGGGTGTTGTGGGAGTGAGCATCGTGTATGCGTGTGAGCCATTTGTTGGCATACAGGAGTGTATTTCTTTTGTCTGCCCGAGTGCATGTGGTTGTGGCATGTCCCTCTTGTTTTGCCCTATCGTCTTTCTTAGCACTTAGCAGGGCCTAGAACATTATGCCAGTGTTTGTTTCCTTCCTCCTTAGAATGTCGTTCCCCTGAGGCCGAGACCTGATGTGTTTTGTGCACAGCGCCATCCTCGGCTCACACAACGTGCTCGGCACCAGCGGGCACTCAATATAACACTGCAGAGTGAATGAACACTGTGTCCAATGTGTGAGTGCTTCTCCGGTTGTGCGACCCATTTCGGTGTAATGCTGGGTTGGTGGGGTTGGGTGACTATGAGAATTTCTGGGGTGGGTGTGTGTAATTTGCTTGTAATATGTACCAGCTTGTACGTGTGTGCAAAAGTGTCTAAGATGTGACTGAATGAGCCTGTGTGTGACTGGGAAGCCTGAGTGTAATCAACTCCCGTGTGTGTATGTGTGTGCGCGCGTGCCAGCATGTTTGTGCATGTCTCACGTGTTTTATGGTGTAATTGTCTGGTGTGCTGGTACGAACCTGTGTGTGCCTGGGGAGTGTGTGCGTGTACTCCCGCGTGTGTGAGTGTGTGTGTGTGTGTACTCCAGGCTCTCACCTCTTCGCTCTCCTCGCGCCCTGCGCTCGGTCTGGGGGCGGGGAGTGGGGATGTGGTGAGGGCACTGCGGATCGGCTGCCCGCCCTCTGCGCTGCGGCTCCGGCACGTCACCGTCTCTCCCCGCCTCCGCCGCGTCCCCGCCCCCCGGTCCTTTGTAGCCCGCCGCTGTGCTCGCTACAGCCACCCGGAGTCTCCGCCCCTGCTCCGCCCCTGCCCCGCCCCACCGCGCGCCCCGCCCCGCCCCTCCTCTCCCCCGGCCGCAGTAGCGCTTGGGCCGCCGCGGGCCCGCAGCGAGCGCGGAGCGCGGAGCACGGCGGTGGCCAGGGCGCGGGAGGGCGGGAGCGCGGGTGGGCGGCCGGCCTTGGACCGGCATGGCGGACCGGCGGCGCGCGTGGAACACCGAGGACGACCTGCCCGTGTACCTGGCGCGGCCGGGCAGCGCGGCGCAGACGCCGCGCCAGAAGTACGGCGGCATGTTCGCCGCGGTGGAGGGCGCCTACGAGAACAAGACCATCGACTTCGACGCGTACAGCGTGGGCCGCCGCGGCTCGGCTCGCACGCCTCGCAGTGCTGGCCGGCCCGACGCCGTCGGCCTGCCAGGGCCGGGTGGTAGCGAGGACACGGCCAGCGACGTGAGTGAGCTCTCGGGCTCCGCGGTCAGCTCGCCGGGCGAGCGCGATGAGCGACCACCCGCGCTTCGCATCCGTTGCCCCGCACCCCGTGACCTGCCACTCGGCCGGGACAATGGCCAGGTACCCTCGGGGCGCGCGGGGACCGGACGGGGGGGCGGGGCCCTCGGGACAGCTGGGCGTGGAGCCGCCTGAGCGGAGTGCCGTGGCTGCTGCCACCGGGCTTGAGAGGGCCACGGAAGGCCCCTCCCCCACTCCGTCACACTGGAGGGTCGGAGAGGTGGTACGATTTGGTAGTGAGACTCCAAAGGGTCCTTCGAAATCCAGCTCCCTGCTCTTTTTCTGCAGGAAGAGAGAGCAAGGCTCTGAGAAGGAAAGTAAGTTGGCTACAGCCGCCACATGGACCCTTAAAAAGCGAGTGGACCTCTGGGGTGAAGTTAACCCAAGGATCCCCATTCCCTGCCTTACGAAAAGAAGGGGAGTTCCTTTCGCATTCGTCCATTCATTTATTCACTCACTCATTAGTGATTATGGAGCACCTACTGTGTTCCAGGCTCTGGAAAAGGTTCAGTGAAACGCCTGTGGTCACACAGGTTAATGCTGAAAGGAACCCTTCCTGTGTGCCCGCTCTGTGCTTTCTGGGGGAAAGATTTGGTTAACGATTTAGAGGGGTCGGGCAGATAGAACTAGAAACTGTTATCCCCAAGCACCGACATCTTCAGCGGATGCTCCTGAGTCCCACAGCACGACGCCAGTCTGCTCTCTTCACAGAGCAAGTTGGAGGCAGAGCGGAGATTTGAACCCCGGTCTCTGGCTTCCTAGACTTGGAGGTTTTTACCCTCTTAAAGTGAAGCAGCATTAGGGAGAGGGAATGCCAGGCCGTGGGCCCTGGCTTTTCTCCCTTAAGCTAGAGGTCGCCAGGGAACTGGAGGAAGATGGATGGGTAGACAGCACAGCTTTGGGACGTATGTGTGAGGGTCGGGGCCAGATGCCAGGACAACGGAAGTTGGAACACCAGAGGTCCAACGAGCTGTCACCTTAGCCCAGAACTCGAAGTCTGAGCACTGCTGAGGTCCCAGACCTCCGGTAGGTGCTGGAGTCCCAGCTCAGCACGCTGGCCCCACCCCAGGCCAGGGTGGGTGACAGATACATTGTGAGAATTAAATCAGTTAATGCTGGTGGGCAGTGAGTACTCAATAAATGTTCGTTGTTGAATTTTACTATCATTTTTTATTAACCCTTCTCCCCCCTTAAATACTGTGAGAGGCATGAAGTGAGCGGGAGGAAGCAGAGCTCAATCCAGACAGAAATCTGGGAGGGCTTCCTGGAGGAGTGGGGGCTGGGGCAGCCTACCGCCGCTACAACGCGGTACCGGGTCTCCTGCTGCTTTGGTTCTCTCGCTCTCGGTCCACCTTGCTCGGGAACTCTCCATGGTCCTGAACTAGGTGCCTTGAAAAGGGGAGTTCTATAGTGATGGGGTGGGGGACAAGGGCGGGCGACATCGAGAGAGTCATCTCCTTTTCTCTACCCCTTCTTATTCTCTCCTGACCACCTTCTTTCCTGGTGGTCAACCTTGCTTAGGATCCAGGTTTCTGAGCCCGAGCGGGAGGCTTCAGGGTTGCGGATCCAGAAGTCAGGGTCGGTACCGGGAAACCTTGGTTTCCAGCCAAGGCACTTAGTCCTCTTAAACCTCAGCTTCTCCACCTGTGAAATGGGGATGGCATATTTCTTCCAGGCACCCACAAGGCGTGGTGGAGTATTAGGGAGGAGAGAGCGCTTTGTGCACGTCCGGAAGCTGTCTGAAAGTGAGTCCCTGACGGAGCTACGGCCAGTGTCACCAGCGCCAGCAATCTCTCCCACGCTCTGTCTGGGGCAGCTCCGCGGCCCGCCTAGGCATTTAGGGATGGTGGTCGCTTCACCTCTTCCACTCCTCTCTCTCTCCCCTTCTGGCCCTCTCTTCCTTTTCTCCATGGCTTCTCGGGGACTGGACAAAAGGCGGCGCCTCCGGCGCGCCTAGGGCTCCAGAAGTCCTCGAGGTTTGGGACTGCGGAACCGAGGGGCTCACGGTCTCCCCCAGGGGAAACGTTTTATTTTCTGCGGACCAAACGGCCACGGGCTCGAGTTCTGGGGCGGGCTTCGAGGCTCCAGTGCTTTGCAGAGGTTACCGGGGCCCGAGGTTCTCCCCCCGCCCAGAAAGCTCTCTCCTGGGGAGGAAGGAGGAGTTTCTGTGGCGCAGGCGCAGCGTTTGCTGAGGCCGGAGGCCCAGCGACTGCGGCGCTTTGTACCCGGGAAGTCTGCTTGGGAGCAGCGATCTGTTTGGCCAATCGCGAACTGGTGCCCCTCCCCCCGATGCCACGTGGTCTCGTCCCGGGCTTTGGAGATTCCCTGTCCAGACTGACCCTGGGGACGTCCTGATGCGTGGAACCTAGGACTTACCAAAGCTGAGGAAGGGAATGTAGGCGTCATGGGAACAGAGACCTGCAAATTCTGGGTTCTGCAAATTCTGGGTTGATTTAAATTGTTAAATCAACAAGTATTTAAGACCCAGATCAGAGTCCAGAGGACAGACTGGAAGAATGAGTGTAGGAGAATGAGTTCTAGATAAGGTGGGCAGGAACCTGGCTTCCAGAAACTGTTCCGCTGTAGCTAATATACTTTGCACCTGAGATACCATTTTATTTCTGTAAGCCCAAACTTTCCACCTGTAAAATGGGAAAATGATGGTCTAGTGTTCCTGGAATACTAAGTTGCTTCTCTTCTGTGAATTTACAACCCCACATCTATCCCAAGGCCAAGGCGTCTCTAGCCTCCTGTCCTGGTGTGGGTGACTGGCCTCTAGGTGGTTGTGGAGGGAAGGGCTTCAGGCCTCAGCTTGCTTGGTGGGGTGTTTTACCACCCCTAGCACATCTTCCCTCTGGGTGACAACTTGAAAGTAAAGAAAATGGGTCTTTTAAAAGATACTGCAGGTTGCAGGCAGAAAGTGAATGGCAGAGAAGGTTAACATATTATTCTATCTGGAGACTTGGGGTACCTGTCTGGGATTGTGGGGGCTTGCTAGGAATACCCCTTCCCTCTTCTTTCCTGTCAAGAAGTTTATCAAGCTATGCCCTGGCCTCCTGCCCACCTCTCACTAAGGTACACTATACGCTGGGAGGCAGGACATCCTATTCTCCTCTTGTCCCCCCCCCCCCAGGCTCTCCTGGGGTCTGTGGGGACCTTAGTACCAGGGGTCTGGCCCTCCAAACAATCACTGGTAGGCAAGCCTGTGGGGGTGACCTGGTGGCCTGAGGGCCAGGCTGCTGTGTGATGAGAAGCTGCTGCAGGGGGTAGAGAAGGTCAGCCGTTAATTAGGTTAGGGCCTTGTCTCTGTCATTCGGGCTGCACTCCGTTGGCCTGGCAGTAAGGCTCCAGCTGAGCCCTGCGGGAGGCTGATTCAATGATGGGAGTGGGGAGGGTGGCAGGAGAGGCTTTGTGGAGAGGCCGTTAAAGATGAGTCTGGGAGATGGGTAACCTTTTGTCTGGGGTTAGATATTAAGGAAGATGGTACAGCTTGAATAAAGGCCTGGAGTCCCTGGGGATGGAAAAGAGCTTGATCTATTCAGGGAGAGTGCACAGCGGATGGACAAACAGGAACGGAGGCTGCAGCAAGAGAGGGAGAACAGGGCGGGGGCAGTCGTTGGGCCGGCTCCGGAGAGCCCCCTGAACGCTCCCGCAGCTCGGGCGTATCCTCAGCGCCCGCCCCACGCTCCCTCCCCGGCGCAGCTGTTCTGTTGTGGCCCGCAGATGCGGGGCCGCACACCTGTGGCGCTGCCGCGGGCTTTGCCGGCTGGCCCGAGGCCGTCTCCGGCATTTAAAACACCCTGAAAACCAGACCTTCCCAATCGCGAGAGCGAGGCCTGGGCGCAGCCGAGGGCGTGCGCGCAGGGCGGGGGTCGGCGGGGCTGGGCCGTTGGGGGGGCGGGGGGCGGGGGGCGGAGTGGGGGGGGTATCGGAAGGGAAGAGCTTCCTGGTTCGAGCCGAGAGGGGCGAATCGGGCTCAGCTCCGCGCCGCCGGGAGGAGCTGTCTGTCTGTAGCCCCCTCCTCCCGCCCTCGCCTCTCCCTCCTCCTCCCGCCCTCCTCACCGAGCCGGGCGGCGCTGGCAGCCTGAGCGGCGGCGGCGGCGGCGGCGGGCGGGCCGAGCAGCCAGGGCAGCGGGCGCGTGGGCTGCCGCGGGCGCTGAGCCTCCGTCCCTCTCTTCTGCCCTCCCGGGCCTTTGTCACCGCGCCCGCGGGGAGCGGGACCGGTTGAGAGCCGGGCCGAGCGAAAGACAGCCCCACAGGTCCGCCGGCCGGGCCGAGGGCGCCAGCGGGGCCATGTCGTACCAGGGCAAGAAGAGCATTCCGCACATCACGGTAAGCCGGGCCCCCGGCCCCGCCCGCCGTTCTTTGTGGGGTGGGGGTGGTCGCCGCCAGGGTCGGGATCCGCGGGGGGACGGCAGGGGCGGCCCCCGAGGCTTCCTGCGCGGCGGCGGGTGGGGCGGGGCTGATCTCAGCACTGCAGCCCCCTCCCCCCCAGCCTCTGGGGACAATGGTGGCTAGGCGGGGCTGAAGCCTCGGGTCCCTCTCCCTGCGGGCCTGCCGTCCCCCAGCACCCACCCCACGGGAAGTGCGGGAGGGTGGCGTGGACAAGGAGGATGCGGAGCTGAACAAAAGAGGGAGGGGCGCGGGGGGCCGAACCCCTCCCTCCAGCCCTGGAGCCTGGATGGGGCGGAGAGCGCCGAGCGTCCTGCGCCTGGCCTCTGCACGGTCCAGCTCTTGCATCTCGCCGCCGAGTTCCTTCCCTGCCGGAGGAAAGAAAAATACCGTCCTCCGCCTCCCACTCCCCGCCCATACTGATGGAGTGGAAGCCTGGACCTAGAGACAGCGCCATGATGGAGAGCCCCTCCCATTCCTCACCGCAGCTAAAAATAAACCTAATGGGGCTGCACTGGCAGCTGTGGCCCCAGAAGGGTTAACACTGAGGGGTAGGAGAGTAGTGGGGGCTGAGCTGTCCCCTGTCCCTGGGTGTGGCCGGAAACAAAGGATCCCTGCTTTGTCTCGGGTGGGGAGCTGAGGGCGCAGCTTCGGGGAGACCTGTCCTCCAC